AAACTAAATTAGAAAATCCTTTAGGAAAAAGGGAAAGACTGGCCACCAATTCGACCCAGCCGCCTGCTGCGGCCCGCGTGGGGTGTGGCCGCGCACCAGCAGGCCAGCCCAACTGGCCCCGCTACGCGAGCGTACTCGTGCATTTAACAAAAAGGTCCCCGGCTTATCAGATTACTACGCGGTGACTCCGCGTACTATTGCACTACAGACAAGTTTTGCATCGAGCACCCTCAATAACCTTACCCTCTCACTGAGTCGGTCCCCAATACCCAACGCGCGACGGTGCGGCTCCAGCCGACACTGCACACCTACGCCGGATAATGGAGCGAGGCACCGGTCGCCCAAACCTACCGGCTCAGCGGCGCACATGACCGGCGGCGAGAAAAATGCTAAATTATCGATCGGTAGTGTTCGGCCGGGCTTGAAGGGAAAGAGACGGCTAGCCAACTTCCTAAGCTACCCATTGGAGCGAGGAATTATGTGGCGAAGCCCGCTGACGCTAGGAGGAAGAAGGAGTGGTGGCCCTGCGCATGGTGCGGTCGTGGAGAGGGCACACGAGCGAGCCCGAGCAGGTTAAGACGGGTGGTTCCGATCGATGACGGCAGCACCAGCACGTGCGCCCAGATGACGAGACATGGAGGCTTGGCATGAAGCACTTGGAATGTAGTGGCAGGACCCGAGCGGGGCTCACCGGCGTCGGCTCAGCGGAGGCACAGTGAGGCAGAGAGGTATCACTATCGCCACTGTGACCGGGGTCAGTCAATCTAGATGCGGAGGCAGTGGCACGTGCCCGGAGGCTCAACACAGTAGTTGAATCGTGGGGCGGGGTGAGCGCCACGTTGGTCGAGCGACGATAGTTGCAGCCTTGGCTCAACCCTGCACGCGGCACGGCGGCCAGCCACTTGAGCAGGCGTGCTCGCGAAGCATGGAAGCCAGGCCGCATCCAGCCAAGACCAGCCAACAAGGGCAGGGATGCCGCGCTACATCGATTGGGCGTGCGAGCTGGCCAGCGGCAATAGCCCGGCCATGGCTTGAGCTCGACGCCAGCAGCACTCACGTGCGCACGATGACCGCGGACTTAGGCCGAGCGACACCAACCGATGATGTGCACGCGTTTTAAAGCAAAACAAAGGCTGCTGATCAACACAACCGGAGTTCAACCAATTCCACTAACCTAAAGCCGATACTAACACCCAACTAGCGAAGCAAACCTCATGTCCAGAGAGCTACCATAGAGGGAGATAGGGAGGTGCCAACATGAGTTCATCACGCTGAACGCCGGTTCACGAACCGAGCACCAAATCATGGTTCATAGAGCATTCTGAGGAGGTTTGGTCAAATTTAGAGCAAGCAATGTGACATCCAACACAACTTCGACCTACACCATGCTCAAAGTGCTTACTTAGAAACAACCAATAGTACAAAAATATGGATATAGTGTTTAAACATTTTAGTTAGAATTTAAATGTCAAAATGACATTGTCTATTACCCTTCCATACTTAGAAAAGTTAAGGGTTTCAGTTGGGGCTAAGTAGCCATTAACTTTTTTGTCGCAATTTTTAATAGGTCTAAACCTTGTTAACTTCAACCAACAAATACTTCATGCAATAGTCCATACTTTATACTAAACCATAGAAACAAAATATTTAAGCACTATTTAATTATTTTGCTCAATACAATTCGTTAAAATGGCACTTTAATCACAAGTTCAACTTCTCGTCGATTCAACGAAAAGGTTTGATTTTAATTTCAGATTTGATTTTTTTTACCTCCCAAGAACACTAGTTAACAACATTTATTTTCCAAAAGTTAAAATTGCATTTCCATTTACTAAACTTGTACTTCAATTTTTATTTAAGTACTAAGTATAAGTTATATTTTATTTTTATTTATAAAAATTATTTTTCGTGCCAAACAATTAAAACTACTTATCTTTTTTTTTCTTGTTAGGATTTTCATTAGCTTTTTTACGCGCTAAGTAAATTAACTTAGATATTTATTTGATTTCTCTCAACCACTAAAGGTAGGTCGCACATGGTTTGTTTATCATTTCATGTGTGATTTTAAAATTTTCAACTCGAGAACTTGTTTTGCTAATTTTTCTAAGACTTTAACCTAGGTGCTAAGCAAGCTCGTAACACCAGAGGTATTACATTTTCTCCACACAACAGAAACAATGATGTGATTCTAAACATGGCTGAATTGTATTCGGAAACACTTTTTTAGTCTTGCAACCTTAGGTGCAACCACTTATAACGAGCTTTAGGGAGGATCACTATTTTCTGATGATCAAATCTTTCTTTTAGTTTGTTCCAAAGAACAAGGGGATCCTTATCAATAAGGTATTCAACTTTTAAACCTTTATGGAGGTGGTGACGAATGAAAATCAAAGCTTTAACTTTATCTTGGCTAGATGCATTATTTTTTTCTTTGATCGCATCATCAAGCCTATTGGCATTCAGGTGAGTTTCAGCATCTAGCACCCATGATAAATAATTCTTACCCGAAATATCCAAAACCGTGAAATCAAGCTTGGCAAGATTTGACATAGTAAACTACAAAATATATATTGCGAAATTCAAACAATCACACAAGAACAAAATATAGAAACAAATAGAAATGATAATGTCTTACCACAAAATAATATTATGATCAATGCAAAGTTCTTACCTAGTTCTTGATAGCTTTTAGAGGCAGTCGTGTTGATAACGTGTTATATAATAGCTAGTTTGACTATCAAGAATATATATGTAAAAATGTGGAGAACAAATTTATAGAGGAAGAAAATGAGCTGTTCTCTTTTCTCTTATCTTGTTTCCAATATATAAGCCCTCCTATATATAGTCATACGTGTGAGATGGAGTTACAAGAATTGATGCTAGGAGAGTTACACCATTGATAAAGTAGAAGGTTATACCTTTGATGGTATAGGGGTTATGGACATCCACATTAATATTTGATAACAACTACGTGCTTGTCTCAATGTTTTTTCAAATTATTTACGTTTGTAGTTCTGTCCGTGCATTGTCTTACTTCTATTCTTGTTCTTAATTTATTTGGTCTCCGCTCTAAGGTGGTGTTTGGATCTAGTGACTAAAATTTATGAGGTTTGTCGAGAGGATGTTGCATGGGGTGTTCGGATACTAATAAAAAAATAAATTATATAATCCATCAGTACTCCACGAGGCGAATTTTTAAGCCTAATTAATCCGTCATTAGTACATGTTTACTGTAGCACCACATTATCAAATCATGGACTAATTAGACTTAAAGATTTGTCTCGTAAATTAGTCGTAAACTATATAATTAGTTTTGTAATTAGTCTATATTTAATACTACATACATATGTCCAAACATTTTATGGGACAACGACTAAAATTTAGGAGGGGCAACCCAACACCACCTAATTCTCCTCGAAGTGCTCTGGTGCTGTCCGGCATTTTGGGTGGAGTTCATCACTTGAGATCAATTACCATAACTTGTGAGGTACACCAGGTAGGATCAAAGCGTCGTCGTCGTAGTTGTCGGCGTTGACCCTTGTAGTTGTCGGCGTGGACCCTCGAGATCCGTAACCCTCTCCATGAGCACTTCGAAGTCGTCATCCGACTTGAGGAGGCTCACCCTCGTGTACCGGCTGCTTGCGTCGTAGCCAGCGCCGGAACGCGTGATGATCCTAGGCTTCCGCAGCGCCTCGTAGCAGTCGTCGTCTTCCTCCCTCTCGCACTTTCACCCATGCATAGGCTGTCCACTTCACCCATGCATAGGCCTTCCGCAGAGCAGTGCACCCTGTAACAACCTTTTCGGCCATGGTTGGGACAGCTCCTCGTCTAAAAAAAAAGTAAATCTAGATCAGGAATTTACCGTGGAGCAGCTCCACTAGTGGATCTGAGATCCACAGTGAAACTGTTTGGCAAAGCAATCAGATCCAGATTTACACAGGGGCATTTTAGTTGGAGTGGACAAATTTGCCCTTGGAATGTGCCCCACGTGTCAGTGTCTGGGACAAAGACGTTGGCCTATCTTCTTTCCCTCGACGCTCATAGGAGAGCGGGCGCCGCCCCAGGACCTTCACCGACGCCGGCTTGCCGCCGGGCGGAGCTCGCGGCCATGGCGGCCAGGCGCGGCGGGAGGGGCGCGGATGGCGCCGGGGTGGAGGGCGCGACCTCGCCGATGGCGGAGCTCGGGCACGTGGCGAACAGCGCCGGGAGGAGGGAGCGACCTCGCCGGTGACGGAGCTTAGGCGCAAGGCGGACGGCGGCAGCCACGGCCACGGCCGGATCGGGCGAGGGCGCGGCCATGGCGGGGGCCATCTCGCGACAGTGGCCATGGCGCCCAGGCGAGCCGCGCCGGTCCGGCCGCGGTGGCCGCGAAAGGGTGAGGCCCCGAGGGAGCGAGCGCGTGGTTGCTGGGAGGGGGCGGCACGGTCGTCGCGATGGAGAGAGGAGACAGAAAAAATTAGAAGGAAACGGTAGCGGTGGTGTGTAATTTTTCTCAACTCCACCAATTTGAGTTTGGTGGAGCACCCCTCGAGGAGATCTACTATTTTGGTGAATCTGGCCCTCGGATTCAATGTTTTGGTGATCTAGATTTTGTGGAGCTAGAGTGTTTGGCAAACTTTTTGTGCAATGAATCTAGATTTGTTGGATCTGAAGTTGGCGGAGCTGTCCCATACAGACCCCATTCATGTCGTCTTCCTCCCTCTCGCACTTCACCCATGCATAGGTTCGATCTGAGAAAAATGCTAGGACTATGGCTCGGTTCGCTTTGCTGAAAAAAAGCCGAGACATTGTTCCGGCTGATTTGTTGTGAGAGAAAAATACTGTTTCGGCTGAAAAAATAAGCTAAAAAATACGAATGAGAAGAAAAGCAAACGGGGCGTACGACGTGATGAAAAGGTCGTCAGAGGGTGCACTGCTCTGCTGACCAGGCGATGGCTCTCTGACCTGGTTGGGAGGGATCCTCTGCAGCGAGATGCGGCGGGACCGCGACACGACGGCGCTCAGCCGCGCCATCTGCTCCTCATCACGTCGTGCCCGAGGCCGAAGATGTCCTCCTTGCCGTGCAGGTTGGCCAGCATGACCTTCACGATCCCCAGCATCCGCAGCTGGGTGTCCCGGGACGCGCCCATGATGCTGTTCTGCACGTACTCGTACGCCCTCTTGGCCACCTTCTCATCCCTGACCAACGCCCATCTGTACATGCAACGCGCACAGGATGTGTCATTGCGACTCATTCGCGTCTATAAATATGCTCGTGCACATAACACGCTGTAGTAGCTAACGCACCCGAGTCTGCTGCCGGCATGCCCAGATGGCTTGGACATGGTGAACAGCATGACGTCCTCGTCGGCCGGCGCCGCGATGTGCGTGAAGTGAGGCCAGTAGTAGGCGTGGTCGGCGATCACCGCGGAGCCGCGGAGGACGGGCGTGCGGAGCAGGGCGTCGGGGTTGTTCGGCGACGTGACGAACTCGACGAACCTGCCGTCGTCGCTGGAGTTTCGTGACGCGTTGGCCCATGAAGCCGTGGTTCCTTCCCATCTGTACTCGCGGCCGTCGAACATCGCTGTCTGTGTTCTGTACGGCTGAACCATGCATCCATCAACAAGGCGATCAGTGATTTTGTATATAGTACTCCTATTACTATATGCTTTCGATTCTCTGAGCATTTGGCGGACCATCGATGCGCATGCATGCTCATCGTCCAAGATTGGATGTCTGACCGGGTAATACGGCACGGTGGCGACCACGCGGGCCGGTGGCGAGGCGTCGGCGTCGGCGTCCGGGGAGAGCGCGTGCACCAGCGCGTTGATGAGCCGCGTGGAGCCGGCGCCGAAAACCAAGGTCTTGTCGTCCACGACGGCGTTGCCGACGGCCCTGTGCAGCCGCCGGATGTGGTTCTCAAGCTCGACGGATTGGTAGAGGCCGTCAGTGGTGGCGTAGCTCAGACGATGCCATCCGGGCACTAGCACGGCGCTGGCCGCCGCGTCCGCTTCCAGTAGGGCTCCAGGAACAGCGGGTCCCCGCTGCACCGCCAACCATTTCATTAGTACCGCAACTCTATTGGTCAGAGATGGAAACTGATGGGCCGGGCCGGGGTCACCTCACCTGTTAGCGGTTGCAGCGGTTCGAATCGAGCAGTCCGGCCCGTCGAGGCAGCGGTTGCACTCGCATCCAGGCCGCCCGTCCTCGCCGGCGACTCCATCCGAGAACACCTGCCCGTGGCCGGAGCAGTCCGCGGCGGCCAACGCCTCGGCCTCCTTGGCCGCCTGCAGCGCCCAGCTCAGCCCGCAGCTGCCACCGTCGCCGAGCAGCTGGGACGGCGAGAGGAAGGAGTAGTGCGCGAGGAAGAGCACGTTGAGGAGCAACGATGAGCAGAGGGCGAGGACGCCAAGGCCGGCAGGTCGTCTTGGCCGCCGTTCCTCCGCGGACTCCATTATTGGATTACTATTGGACGTCTCGGCGTGTTTTCAAAACTCAGAAGCCGTAACATATAGTTCTTCCTGCGAGCAACTCAAACACTCTACCACCGTTCTATGTTCAACAACGTGGCATAACTTGTTTCTCGTCTGATGAACTAACAAATTCAACCCGCAAGGTTAGACTGATACTAATTTCCGAAGAGATGATCCAGCACTGCAAGGAACGCCGATGATAGGTTTACAGTGACTTGTATTTGCACGTATCTTTTGGTTACATGTATCTTGTCGATTTCGGCCAATTAGCCCTGATCAATAGCTTCATGAAACTGCCACCAAGGTCCTGACCAATCGATCTGGTCTCCATCTCACAAAATGCCTTCATAAAAGGCAGATGCATACATGACAACTTCCTATATGTGCAAAATGTTATACGACGTCTACACGAAGAAAAGCACCCGGCCTTATTTATTAAGCTTGACATTTCAAAGGCATTCGATTCATTAAACTAGCCATACTTGTTGGAGGTCTTGACTCAGTTGGAAAAATCTTTGTTCGAACACAAAGAATTCGAACACAAGAATGGAAAAATCTTACACTAAACAAAACAGGATAATCTATCGTATAATAATACTTGGGACAAAGCTTTTGCCGTCCTTTCCAAAAAAAAAAGGACAGGATAATGAAGTTCCAACCAAGCTTACCGAATGAAAGCATATCTAGACACTCTAAATGCTTTTCGATGAATTAAATGGCAATACGATTAAAGGACTAGTGAGATTGTGCAGGTATTTAGTCACTGGTTGATTTACGTGTTTGGGCTAAAAAAATAAAGCAAATGACATGCAAATGATAAACGATTTCAAATTTCATGAAGTGGCAAACATGTTGTGAAGATAACAAAAGAGACATGATTTGATGAACATCAATGGTTATCACATATATGAAGCGTGTTCATTGTATGAAGGTATTCAAATTGAGATTTCATTATTGATCTAGAGGCAAGCATAGTTGAACAAAATAGAATGAGAAATGAGTGTTTGCATATGCGATGGTCTCACATAAAGCGATTTCCAAATCAGTGCAAGCAAGAGTCAAGATATTGAAGACACGGTTTTCAACGGTGTGCTTTTTGTTGACTCAAGACATGGTGTGACTTGACTACTTGATAAGGCAATGTAGTAAGGAAAGGGTTTTGAGGCACTAAGCAAAGGTGAAAGGCAAACGAGGGCTTGGCAGCTAAGGTAGCATGGCCAGAGTGAACAATAGAGTACTTGCATTGAGCCATTGTACTAATCAAGCTATGAGCTAGGGTTTACGCCACAAGGAGAATCAAATCATTGTTAAATCATATGAAGAAGTGACTTAAGGATGAAAAGTGTTGTCTTGATCATATTGTCAGAAAGATCCTAAGTCACTAGCTCACGGAAGTCAAGCTCACAACAATGATAGTGTTGAAATCCCCTCAAACGATTAAGACTAAAGCGATGACACAATTTCAATTAAATAATAGATGCTCAAGTGTCATTTAATTATATATCTTTGTTCTTGAGTATAGGTGCGCCATATTATCAAAAGGGCTACAACACTAGTTACTGGTGTGGGGGGTACGACCCCGGATACCCACGGCAGACCATATGGGCCGCACCATCAGTGGTGGCCCAGCCCACAAGATCAAGGCGTACACGGCACTAGTCGACGTGCACCGTAAGATATTGTATAGTATAAAATAGGATACTTTTCTTGGAACCCTACCCCTCCAGAGTATATAAGAAGAGGCAGGAGTCCCCTAGTCGATATCTACATGGTCATCTAGATCAATACAATACACCAAAGACACAAGACGTAGGGTATTATGTCGATCAGACGGCCCGAACCTGTCTAAATCGATGTCTCTGCGCCTTGTGTCACCATCCGGTTCCTATCACGTGCACCTCCACCGATCAATCTACCTTCGTGGGATACCCCTCGGAGGACTGCCGGGCATCTTTTGTTGACAGTTGGCGCCCATCGTGGGGCTTGTGCGTGTTGATCCCTGGCGAACCAGATGCCGTAACTCAAGATCAACATCCTTCGCGACAACTCGGCTGATCACGTTGACATCCTTAGACAACAACGGCGCACGTCTTCATACGCGGATTGACACTGCTAAGCTCCTACTATGTCTGTCCTACTCCAACACGAGATCAACTTCGTTCCGGCCGTCAAGCGAGCTGCCCGCGTCGCCGACCAGATAACGCCATACGCCGCCGACCAGATGTTCTGTCTAAAGCTAAGTCACGCTTTAATATTTTTCTAAATATTCTCCGATCTTCGTATATTGCCATAATATTTCTCCGAGCTGTTTTATCCATGTTTGCTCTCCAAACCATTTTCTTTCATATATACCATCTTAAAGATGACATACAACTAAGTCTAAGACAAACCCCGAACAGTCATGTTGACGCTCGGATGTCCCTAGAGACGGCCCTGTCTCTGTCTCCTCCCTACACGTGCACGAGTGTATGCCCTCTGTGTTATGGGTGGTCGACAAGCGGCTCCTTAGCGACACTTTGTTCTTCCTACTACGCACACGGGCTCCACGCTCCGCATTATGGTTAACGGACTAGCTAGGGCTAGAGACTCAGCTACACACTAACTGGTCGGGCGGTTTATATTAAATATAAACACATCTTCAGAATAACACTAAGTGTTCACACCAACTGATCGCCGAGCTGCATACGCTATTTCATCTCCATTGCTGATTATTCTCCGGAGTTCATATATTTCTACATCATGTACTACCCGTTCTACAAATTTGTATTGTAGGATCATCGTCCAGGTGATCGGACCACCTAGTGCTCGGACTTCTCCACCGATCAACTGGTCGAACCGCTAGGTTCATGGACTTCATCGCCGACCAATTGATCGGACTGTTCGCCGGTCGCTTCTACTCAATGCTCACTTCGCCGCCGACCAGTTGACCGGACTCCTCGGCGCTCGGACATCGCCAGCTACGCCGGGGACTCCTCGGTGCTCGGACATCGCCAACTACGCGCGGGGACTCCTCGGTGCTCGGACATCGCCAGCTATGCTGAGGACTCCTCGGTGCTTAGACATCGCCGGCTACGCGCGGGGACTCCTCGGTGCTCGGACATCGCCAGCTACGCCGGGAACTCCTCGATGCTCGGACATCGCCAGCTACGCTAGGGACTTCTCGGTGCTCGGACATCACCAGCTAAGCTAAGGACTTCCTTGGTGGTCGAATCTTACTACATCTTATCGGTGTGCTATCAAGCTGCTCCATGCTGTTCGGATTAGGGTGCTGATTTTGGGCAGCACGTCTGGGGTCTTGATACACTTTGTCAGATGACGTCGGTAAGCTTTCAGACTTCTTTTCTTTGACCCTACTATAAGATTCATTTTTCATCTTCCAGCAGGCTCGAGGACTAAGTGGCTACACTTCACCTGGCGGTGAATGTAGTGCTTATTTCTTGATTTATCCTCCTTATTGATGGAGTTTAAGTGGCTACACTTCTCCTAAGTGGAAGAATTTTTAAATTTTATCTTTAGCTCCTTACATCCTTATGGCAAGCCTTACTTGGGACACGCTGCTCGGCGACGGTTCACGCTGCTCGGCGGCAGTTCACGCTGCTCGACGACGGTTCACACTGCTCGACGACGGTTCACACTGCTCGGCGACAGTTCACAACTGCTCGACAACTCATCACGGTAGTCGAACCATGAGTTTGACTGTTCGGTTTTGTTTGCACCTGCTCGGACAAGCTCAAGACGGCGTTGCACAACGGATACAAGGCGCTCGGGGACTAGCTGTGGGGGGTACGACCCCGGATACCTAGACCACATGAGTCGCACCATCAGAGGTGGCCCAGCCCACAAGATTAAGGCGTGCACGGCACTGGTCGACGTGTACCGCAAGATATTATATAGTACCAAATAGGATACTTTCCTTATGACCCTACCCCTCCAGAGTATATAAGGAGAGGCAGAGGTCCCCTAGTCGACATCTACATGGTCATTCAGATCAATACAATACACCAAAGACACAGGACGTAGGGTATTACGTCGATCAGACGGCTCGAACCTGTCTAAATCGCTGTCTCTACGCCTTGTGTCACCATCCGGTTCCTATCACGCGCACCTCCACCGATCAATCTAACTTCGTGGGATACCCCTCGGAGGACTACCGAGCATCTTTTGTCGACAACTGGCTACTATAGACAAGGTCTAATAATACTCGAAATAACCCTAGAAATAAACTTGAGTGATTAACTCTAAAATCTAGAATTTAGTGGCTAGAGGCTAGAAAAAATAGCTAGGCCAGTTTTACCCTAGTTTGGTCGAGACTGCAACCTTAAATGTTGGTTTGTGGGATTAAGTATTTATATTCATCCCCTCCCTCTCGGAGGGACTACTGATGCATTCCACATCCATCTAAGCTTCAAAGAACCTTTAAAGCTCAACTAATCATCCCTTTGTGGGATTTGTGTGCTAAGTAAGATATCCTTTCGATTAGAGAGTGAGAACTGAGTTGTGAGAGCTTTAGTGAGCAATTGTGAGTTTATCCTAAGCCTTAAGTACTTTGTGGCTGGATTAAACAAAATTTGAAGCATTTGTTATCATTGGAGATTTTCTCATAGACGGCTAGGCATCACCAGCGAGTACCTAACGTGTGTGGAGTGACACTGGATAGTTTGTGCACGCTGCTGTCCTGCCCCAAAAAATAAAACGGCCAATTAATGGATCGAAGATAGTGGTTTTGATCATGGGTGATCGTTCAGGGCTTCCTGAATGGGCACTTAGGGTCCAAGTGGAGACCTGAACTTCGAGAAACAAATTATTTTTTCTCGAATACGTAAAAGGTTTGTGCATCTTTGTATTAAGATTGAGAAGTAGTGAAAGTTACAACGACACACCACAAACATGGCACACTAGGAGGTTAGTGTTATACAATCGGCTCTGACCTCCCTAGCAGAAAGATATTATAGGTTATTACTCCCTAGCAAAACGAGAAACAAATCGTTCGCGTCTCTTGTTTTGGTTTGCCTCACATTCGCTTCTTTCATAAGCTTAGTTTCATTTACCAGACGGAGTATCATAGTATGAGCAAAATTGCTACCACAGGTGATTGGAACATGCATTTGGGAAAAGGGCAGCCTCTCCTGTTCACGATTGCTAACACGTTGCTGCAGCAGTGCAGGTCAATACTGATGTGGCGTGTGCCAAGATGCTAGATGCCTACCGTTTTTTTTTTTTTTTTTGAGAGAGAGAGACACACGGATGCCTACTGCTAGGTAGGGGTGTAGGGCCATCTCCATAATTTAACTAGGGAGCTATGAAAATCTTCCTGAGCGGAACTGGGCCGTGCCATTGGCGCTTTGTCAAGGATGCTTGATAAATTGGGCTGACATCAGGCCCGGCCGTGAGCCCGTGACGTATTCAACAATCCATTTAGCAGCGGGTCCTTTGTTTTCCCAGTAACAACAACCCCGAAGAATTTTGGTGTTGTGTCCTAATCTTTCGGCCCATTTTTCTATACGACCTATCATCCATGCACCTCCTCCCTCAGACCAGGGGCCTGATGGCCTTTGAGTAGCTCTATAAACATCGAGGCTCCTACCTAATCCTAATAAGAAAAAAAAAGCGCAGAACTACGATCCAAAAACTCAAGATATTTCCACCATCTTTTCCGCAATTGAGCTCTCGGCATTTTTTTTTTCTTTTTCACGAAAGCAATGTGATGGGACGGAGCACAGAATTGTCTCTGAAGTTACGTGTCCGTGTGCAATCCTTGCTGTATGTTCTTATCAATCTGGCCCCTGCTCCGATTCTTGTTCGGTGTGTCGAAGTGTTTCTGAGGTCTATCTCCTGTGAATTGTGATGCCACTCCAATCATGGAATAATGTCGTTGCCACTAAGCCCATTGCACTGTAGTGCTGCTGAAGCTTCGTTGATCGCTGTCAGTGTGCCTGCTGAACATTGATGCGCTTTTCGGTCGCTCTCGGTTCATCGTTGTGTTCAGATCTCGCGTACAGTACGGTGGATGGATGGGCACCCAGCAGCTTGTCATGGTGTTCAAAAGATCGCAGATGTCGCTGTCACCAGCAGTGATCAGCTCCTACTTCTTCAGCAGGCGAAGTAAGGATGTGAATTATTTTCTCGACGCTTTTGACAATCCCAAGAATGATTTTAACCACTAGTGGCCACATCCGGCAAGATAGATCATCAGCACATGCTGTGGAAACTGGAAAAGGTCATGTTCGTTTATGCTGAAATTTAGCTTATGCTGATGCTTCTGAAATATTATGAGAGAAAAATACTATTTTATGACTGAAAAGTAACTTAAGCAAACATGCCTTTGGCCTTGCCCGATCTTCTTCAACTGCCACCAGACGCCACTACCTTACCTCAGTAAAGGCAACGGCTTTCAGTACTAGTAGGTTCTCAGTTCTCTGGCCAGAAGGGCTTCAGTCTTTCAGTTGCATACTGTATATATATAATTCTTTCCGCAGAGCATTTTCTTCTCGAGCTACGCGAAATCAAAACACTCCGCTTTAATTATTATATGGCTTTATATGCTTCGCCGGAGAACATCTATGGACTCTAGGCGAGCATAATTCGCCCGATCATGCAAAAACTATAAAGAATGGGTCGATGATCTAGCATACTTCGGGGACCATCTACGGATCGCAGGGGGAAAAGAAATATCACGTCTGCTCGAGCTGCTAAAAAAGCAGCGGTGCCAATCGCTGCTGGCTTCAGCGGAATCCGGCAAGTGGCGATATGGCTGGCGCAGAGGCGGTCAGAGGACCATCCATGCTGTGCTAGTGCTAGTGTGGTAGGAGTACTCCGTATGCGGCCACGGTTGCGGCAGAGAATTGGTAGGATCTCTCTTTTCCAAGCGGATGGTGCAGGAGATTTTGCGAAAAGCTTTCAGCTCGGCATGTTGCAGTTGCAGGGGCCAACATGGTGAGGCAATGAGAACAATTAGTAGTAGGTCTTTCAGCCATGTATAGGCATCGACTTCGATACGATATTATGCCTTTGCATTGTTGCATACTCCGTGTGTCTCCCATTTCAAGAAAATCTTCGTATATCTGATCGAGTGGCATTCGTAAGACACAAAAGCAGACCACAATGTTCGAGGATGGCCTAATGCTCTGCTGTCTGCACGAGTCTGACCTACGGAGTACAAGCAGGGGCAGTGGCACAACATGTTTTGTCTCCTGGAGCTAAGTTGGCCGTACGTCGTTCTTATCGTCCGTCGCTCCTGCCCGTCGGCTCTGACTTTGGCACTCCACGTCCACGAGAGCACCACCAACCGTGTGATCTGATCCACGCACGCATGCTGCAGCACACTGCCTCGTTGCGTCTCGCGTGCAACATTTTTTTTCTCGACGGCAGCAGCTAATATAAAAACCCGCTGGGGAAAAGCCGACCGTCACTAAAACGCTGCTTGTGCCTGGGAGGCAGGAGGATTGTGAGTGTGGATACGCGCGCGTTCTCCCGCTAGAGAGCCGGAAGCTGCCAAAACTTTCGGCCGCGTCTCTATACGTTGACAGATCAACATCGGCGGCGACACGTTGGCCACGCCGACGTGACGTCCCTCCCTCTGATCTTTCGTTACCGACAAGGGCCCCGGGTGGCCGGGTCGAACACCGGCCACGCCAAGTTGTTGTCGCCACTTGTAGTACATAGGAGTATACTACACTGTAATGTAGAGCCCGCGAAAGCTTTTCTCTTGAAAGTGATGGTACATTGTCGGCTCTTTTAAGGACGAAAGAGCCCAGCGCCAAAGGTCAACTTTTTCTAAGTTTAATTTAACTAAACACACACAAAAATACTACTCTCATTCTAAATTAATTATAAGTTGTTTTGACTTTTTAAAATTCATACAAGGTTCTACTATATATTTAGACATAATGTATATCTAGATTTATAGCAAAAGCTACGCAACTAAAAAAACAAAACGACTTACAATTTGTAATAGATGTAATACTATTTATGATATGCAATTAGTATAATTAGATTAATCATATAATATATTTTTATAAAAAACTTGTTTGGAGATACAAACATTGATACTGTTTTTTTTCTAAACATAGTTAAATTTAAAAAGAATTAACTCTTCAATAACGTGCATTCTTTCTCGGACGGATGTAGTAGGTCTTTAGTGCTAATGGCTAGTATGCTAAAACCAACGAAGATGGGTACAAACAGACTGTGCTAATAAGCCATCTGTTCACCTATGAATCTATTAGCAAGAATAGTGGTGCTATGTTGCTAAAAATTAGCATGGTAAAACTAGATGATCCAAACAGGGCCATAGTAACGCTCTATAACTCTATGAAACATTTCATAGCGATTAACCTAGAGGCTAATCTAGGAACACCTGTTATTAATAATGATTATCATACTATATGAGCAGCAGATGATGCCAAGAGATCCAGAACAAACTAGCTACACCGTTGCACAGGTGATGCCAAGAGATCGGATCACTAGGGATTCAGAACAAACTAGCCAAATACTATATTACTGACGTGCGTTCTTCACACGTTTACCCGCTATATACTCCGTATATATAATAATTACCCGCTATATACTCCGTATATATAATATGTTCCTACGGTCCTACCCCACACGGGAAACACGCTGCGTCTTCCGAATGTCATTATGAAGAAACTAATATTGATCGTTTGACATACTTTGCTTCTCGATGATCTGCTTCAAAAGCACACCAAACACACATGCACGTAAAGCCTCAAATTGTCAGCGACTCCGCGCCACGCAGCGCGGATGCTAATTACTGAGCATGACCGATAGATCAAGCGTATGTGAAACTCAGAGTGATCATATCCTAACAGTGCCGACACGTCAATTGTGGCCCTAAAAGTCAAGGATATGTGACGAGATACAGACCATTGTCATGCTTGCTAAACTCCTAGTCCAGTACGTGTGGTGTGGGTGTGCACCAAAGTCGCTGCTAGCTGGTCGATGTCAACCATCTGTTCATTTATTTCTTATTATAAATGAAAGTTGTATTTACGATGAGCAGCGTAAACTCACGCTAGATTGACAAAATGTGTTTGCGTGGAATATAAAGGTGCTCCCCAAGAATTACATCACTGTGGGCAACAGTATCGGGTACCGGATCCGCTATAAACAGTACCGGATTCGCGATGAACAGTTCCCAACCCAATCAGAAACAGTGCCAACCCCGATAAAAAAGAACCGTACCACCCCGATAAGGAAACAGTGTACACCCGATAAGGAACAGTACACACCGTTACAGAACAGTGCACACCCGTTCAATTTTTTTCTCCCTTTTTTTTGCCCGCCCTCTTTCCCACGCGAAGCGTGAGGGCTCACGCTAGTTATAAATGAAAGTTGTGTTTTCAGATGAGATAAGATTGGCAAAATGTGACGTGGAATATAAATCTAAGAGAGACGAACCGTCTCACATATCCCTTATCCTGCTGATAGGCACTGTTGATCAATACACTGTTGATCAATAGTGCAGCCCGTCCTTCCCTCCCATTGTCCTGTTCATTCCACAGTGCCATCGTATTGCCCGTTGGATCCTGCAGCCCGGCAGCGGATGGCCGCCACGCACGCATCCGGCAGGCCCACCCTAAACCCTATCCGCCGCTCCAGCGGTCCAGGCCCCCACGGACGCCACCACCAGCCTCAATCACAGCTCGGTCTCGGAAAAAAAAAAGGAATCGCAGCGACGGCACCGAGGAAACCGCCGCTCCTGCAACCTCCGCCGGCCTCGACGCGACCCCGACGGAGCACCGCACCACCTGCGCCCTCCGTCCGCTGCGACGTCGCCCCGCAGCAGCGCCGAGCCGCCTCCGCACACCTCACCCGCGCCTCCCGCCGGTGCACCACCGCAGCAGCTTCGCCGCGGCGCGGCGCCGCCGCAGCGCCGCCGGCTTTACCTGCGCGGAATCCCAGCGCCTCCCCCATCCCTTCTCCCTCGCTGTACCCGTCCACGTCTCCGCCGCCGCCGCATGTCCTCGCCCTGCTTTTCCGTAGCCCACGGTGACGACTACTGGGCAGCAGCGCGCCACCGTAAGCTGGGTGCCCAGGTCCTCTCCACGGGGCCTTCTTCGGCGATGGTGCCCCACCAGGTATGCCGAGCCCGTCTGTTCCCTTACCGCTTGCGAAACTAGAGCGCCCAAACCCTAACATATGCTATTTGGCTATTTCTATTCGGATCTCATCTGATTACTGATTTTAGAAGTGTGTTATGCCTACTACCCGCTTCGATTTTTCCACGCATATTATCGACCAAACCCTAACCTATGCTATTTGCCTATTTGTATTCCGATCTCATGTGATTACTGAATTTACGACTGTGTTACGCATACTACCAGCTTCGATTTTCCCCCCAAAATTATCGGCCATGCATGCGCGTGAATTTGCAGAGGTCCCCGCCTCCAGTCGTCTCGCACTGTGGATATATACCTATTCGGTCCATGCGGTTTATCATTTAGTTCCACCTCTTTTCAGAGATTCCACAAGTGCAGCTGCTATGCATCCTCTGTTTTTGGAAAGAACAGATTGCACTTTGTTTAATTCAAATAGATCATTGATGGTTTCCTCTGTTTTTTTTGAAAGAACGGATACAATCCAAATAGATCATTGATGGTTCGGGTACAATCCACAGCTTCATTACCCTGCACTGAACCAAACACTATGTTCTGCAGTTTTTGCAATAGTTCTTGCTGCCTCATTTAACGATTGCATGAATAAAAGACACTGAATCAGAACCAGTGGTGGGCAGGTTGCACTTTGTTCAATTCAAATAGATCATTGATGGTTCGGGTACAATCCACAGCTTCATTACCCTGCACTGAACCAAACACTATGTTCTGCAGTTTTTGCAATAGTTCTTGCTGCCTCATTTAACGATTGCATGAATAAAAGACACTGAATCAGAACCAGTGGTGGGCAGGTTAATGCCATGATTAATATTTTATAAGTCTGGATTGGGGTCTGTCCAAAGGGTACATACTATACTGTTACCTTGACAAGCATGTTATATTTTCTTGGGTTAATCAGTTTTGTTTTTGGAAACCAGCGTCGGTCTTTTTTCCTATGACAGTGCTTTACCACAAAAAAACTTTTGGCGGTAAAATGTTGTGTTTGTTGATCTCTTTTACTTTTACTATCAAGTTTCAAGCCTCCTTTTCGATCTGTACACAGGTATCAGTTGGTTCAAGCAGAAAGAGAGTACGTTTCTGCATGTTCAACACATATGCAAGATCAGCATCTCCCCACCATCAGCAGGTGTCCATCGATGGTTTGTGCACAAGGTACCCCCAATTGTATATTTCCTCTTCTATGGTTTGTGCAAAGGAATTGATGAATCTCAGTTTACAAATAATTAGGGCTCCTCTCCATGTTTTCATCTGCTAGGTTATTTTGATCTTGCCTGTACAGTACTAAGATCTGGGATCATTTCCTTTTATATATGTGGACACCGACTTTTCTTTTCTCTGGTCATATTGAAACAAAAAAATGTTCGACAGCCATGACCATGACATAGTAACAGGTCAGCTCTCTACTTGATAATTTTGTATAAGACGATTATATTTCCATATTTCTTATAGAATACTACATGCTCTGTTGTTTCTCTACCCTTTTGGAGAGTGGGTAACCTTCCACCTCAATTACGTTGAGGTTTCAGGAATTTACTGGGTTATGTGTTGTCTTACAGGCAGCCCCTACCTATTGAATATTGATTGTTTGGTTGAAAAAAACGTCATGCGAGTGGTTCCGAAACTCTCTAACTGGTGCTTCGATTTTGTGATCTGCAGAGCCACTGCATGCGCATAGAGTGTAAGAGTTGAACAAGGAGTTACCTGATCCCTGAAAGAGCCAAGGTATTGTTGGTGTCGAATCATTACACATAGTGTAGTTCACCCTATAATTGTATGATTGTTTTCTCAAGTCAGTTTCTTTATTACTGGACATAGTATTATGCTGCAAAATATTTTGTATTTTTTTTTTCAAAAGATTCAGTGTAGTTCACCCTATTATTACTTCTATAAGTTATCCCATTGGAATGCTTTTGCCTTACCGTTTATTCCTTACGCTGAAAAGATGAAGTGGAAGAGGTAGATGCTTTACATAAAAAAAATTGTGACTCGATTTGCTACACTACACATGGCATGCTTACCCTGATGTTTATGAAAAACACATGCTCAAATTTTCCTGATAGTAAGCAGGTTGGAATGCCTGAGAGTAAACAGCACACCATGTTTACTAATTTAGTTTCTCATTTTCCCCCTTCTGTTGGCAAATTTATATTCTTGAATCTTTCTCCTAGCCTGATTGTTTTTCAGCTGCCTTTTGACATGATGCTTCGATCACAATATGTCTGATCCTTACCCCATTTGCTTTTACACCTGCAACTGCTTTTTCTTGCCTATCTATATTTTGGAGTATATGCCATACAATTTCCACTACATCTATAAATTTTAAGGGTAATAATATCAAGACTTTTTTTAGAGGAATTCATATCAGGGCTATAATACATGTGAATTGTGATTCACTTAACATGACGCTTTTCAATGTGTCTGTGCAGTTCTAGGTGCTGAATGATTTCTTCTTCCTAACTAATCATCTTTCATGATCATGCTCATTCTGGTGGAACACATTCCCAGGCTTGGCAACCGTGTAGTTTTGCAAAATATTGGAATTTTTTTTGGTGACAATGAAATGAGTGTCCGTGTGAAGACATTTCTGTATTATGCTAAACTAGCCGTTCAGTTAATTAGTTTTCTGTTGCCTCTCCAAGATTTCCTTTGTACTGCCATTTGGGAAGAAATCATTATTCGTCAAACTGTTCCATCAAGCTAGATTGGTCACTGAATCAATGATAGCAGCTAATTAGTTTCTTTGGTTATCCCCGTTCGCTGGTCTGAATCTTGGCTGAAAAACACTGTTCTGGCTAAATTGTTGTGAGAGAAAAATACTGTTCCGGCTGAAAAAACAAGCCGAACAAGCCGAATATGGGGTAAGCCGAACGGGGCTATGTCGATTATTTACTTGCCTGATGGATGTTGCCTTTGGGGGATAGAATAGGACAATGTTGGTAGAATGGTTTTATTGGGTCAGTTTGCTCGGCAGTGATGATTATGATAGACCTTGAATGTTCTTCTCAATTGTCATGGTTAGGACTGCTGATTTTTACGCCCAAGAAAAACGAATGTACCTTAACCTTTTTCCTTTCGCATTTACCTTCTGAGCATTTACCTGTACTTATTTAATTACCTAGACCTTAGTTTTGTGAGCCAGCTTTATTCATGGTGTCTAAGATGATTTCTTTTATTATTATTAAAAAAAGCTAAAGTTTTTCATGTGATTGTTGCTCAACCATTATAGCTGATCCTGATAGCTAATCTTTTGTACAGCCATGCCAACTACATTGTCTATGCCGCAGTGCCCTTAAAGAAATCTGAGACCAAATCGAGGACATGCATGAAAAAGAGAGTTCTCATCTCCCTCATAAACGAAAAGCTTCCATTCAGAGCCATCAATGTTCGGGTTAGTTGGATGTTGCCTTCCCATATTTGTTCCTTTCCTAGGACATCATGAACGCGTACATTTAGTTTGTTAGAATCAACGTATTATAGAGATTATTAATTTTCCCATACCACAATATTTTCTTCTGGAACATCTACCTACAATTAGTTGTTCCCTAACACAGCTCTTCCCATTTCAAGTTTGATCTAAGTATTGCATACACTATATGCTCTTTTCAGAAAACTGTTTCTGCTGCATAATCCATATCAAGTTTTAAACTCCTTTTCAATCTGTACACAGGTATCAATTGCTTCAAGCGGAAACAAAGTACATTTCTGCGCTTTTTTCGGCACATGCAAGATCAGCATCTCCCCACCATCGTCTGCTGCCATCCAAGCACCAAACCTTCTTACTTTCGGGGTCCTATTCTCCAAGTATAAAATATGCCATTATTTAAATCTGTTTATACATGGTACAAAACTAAATGTTATATTTGAATCATAGTTGGCTGATACATATGCCACCTGTGCCAATGCACCTAAGTCTGTTGTCTGTTGGACACGGCGTGTTCTGTCGCGCGGGGTTACTTGCCAGTGAAAGATGTATTTTCAGATTGAGATAAGATTGGCAAATGTGACGTGGATTTGACGAGGCAAGTTTCTTTAATTTTTTTCCTTCTTAATGGCAATATCACAAATATCAAAGTTGAGAGATATACTACTTCATCCGTTCAAAATACAAGTCATTTTGATTTTTTATCGATATAATAATAGGCCACGAGCGAATGTCCCGAACACTGCGAGCCCACTCCGCATTGCAGCACTGTTGCTGCGCTTTTCCCGTCGCGCACCTGCCTCCCGCGCCGCTCGCTCCCCGACCTTGCCGTCGTGGGCCCCACCCCTGCCTCTCACTCCTCGCTCTGGTCGCGCCCCTGCTCCCTTTGGTACGTGCCCCCAACCGGGCAGCCGCCAGGCTAGCCGCGCCACGCCTTGGCTGGCCTCGATGACCACGGCTACTCATGCAGCCGCTCGCCCACTACCACCCACCTTCTCCACCGCGATCGCACAACCGGATCTCGCTGTGCAGTGCTTCGCTGCCCACCCGCTTGCATGGTTTTGATGAAAGCGCATGTTGCAAGAGTATGTTTCAAGTGTTTTAGTTGTTTCGGAGGTATGTTTCAAGTGTGGTTGATAGGATGTTGCAAAAATAGATCGGGGTTTGCATATATTGCAATGGTTATATATACATATATGTTGTAAGCGTTTGTTCCAAATATTTCACTTGTTTTTTTCAGTCGTATGTTGTAAGCATGTTTATTTAGATGTTGCATATGTTTTACACATATGTTGCAAGTGTTTTATCCGGATGTTGCGTAAGTTTTGCAATGACTTTTCAAGTGTTTTCAGGTGTTTTTGCAAGTGTTTCAGATGTATGTTTTAATTGTTTCATCTGTCTTCAGACATATGTTGCAAATGTTTCACCTGGATGTTTCAAAAGTTGATTGGATGTTGCACACGTTGCAATAGCACCGGTGGCTGGCGGACAGCGCCCTGCCGTAGAGCTTTGGCTCCTACCTCGCGCGACGCACCTCATCCTCTCCTCTCCTCTCCCTCCCCTCCCTCCCCTTCCCTCCATCTTGCCACGACAGTTTGAGCTCGGCGACAGGGTGCGGCGGGGAAAGGGGCATGGCTGGGCGCGAGCGCCTGAACTCCGAGAACATCGTATCAAACGCAGACACATGGGTCTGGTCTTCATATCGGAACCGAGTAGGACATATGTATCGGACACGGACTTTGGTGGAGCAGGGATCGAGACTTGGTATCACCGGATAGAAGATCATGTTACATTTTGTTTAGGTGCAGAGATAGAGATATAGAAGAGATATGTAGGTTTCACCATATATCTAGACAAGTTTACATCTAGATGTATATAGTAAAAACTATATATCTTGAAATTTAAAATAATTTATAATTTGAAATAGAGAGTACTAAATAATATTACTAGCTCTGATCGTACATGCTAGCTTTGAGGAGGTGGAACTTTGAGCATTATTGTTTTTGCTAATACAATATATAGTTGTAATACAAATAATTAGAGATTATATAAGTACTTTTCAAGATAAGTACACATATTTTATATTCTGAAATTATCTATTATGAAAACTATTTGGTAGTCCAATACTCCCCCCATTTTAAAAAGAATACAATTCTAGAACGTACCAAATTTATTACATAAAAAATTACTAATATTTATCCTATTAAATATGTATCTTTCTATACATTTGGTCTCGAGAATGCCCCTAGAATTACAATTTTTTTGGTCGGAGGTAGTAAATTCCAAGAGTTTGATGTGATTCACCAAAACATCAAATGTTTGTCAAACAAGAAAGTACCATGGCTTTTCCTTGGAGACTGCAGAAAAGGTACATGGCAAGATTCACTTGGAAAAGGGCCGTTGGAACTTGCATAGTAGCTCTATCGTACGTACTCCTATTCCCAACAGCTGCGTGATCAACTGATCATAAGTCACGTGCACGCAGGCTGCACGGGATGAGATTGCTCGAGAGACCCGGACCGGGAGTAAAACACACGAGACAGACAAACAAACCTTCCCTTCCGATGTCATTTTCCCCGTTTCCAAGCACGCGCTGCTGTTCGGTGTCGTAGTGGATCGCACCGCGCGCGCACAACAAGAACAAGCCACGTGTTTGGGGACGGACTACGGGAGAGACGTGTCTGGATGCTTCGTGTTGGCAACGCGGGCCACAGAGATGTCACTGCCCCACACCCCCACACGGGATCTGATTGTGGTCATGGTACATGTGGCTCCTGTGAGGGTGTGGACGGCTCGTTAGCCCGTACTAACGAGCCATCGTGAATTTTAAATTAAATATAAATATAATGGGTGTCACAAATATAAATATTTTTATGAGAGAAAAATACTATTGGTTGACCGATTTGATTTGAACCTACCCAAAATGAAACCAATGAAAAATATCATATAATAGTACGGTCAAGTAGTCGATCTATGGTGTGTGGGCTGGTGGTGGCCCTCCTGGTATGACATATTTTTCTATAATATAGATAGTAGAGGAATATGTTGTAATAGTCTAAGAATTTTTTTTGTTATCCTGTCATTTCTGTTTTGAACGATACAAAACCTTTACTAATTCCCTTCGACATCTTTGCAATGAAGATGAATTAGCATTTGGCTATGGATGGGTGACCTCGCCGACAGGAAATGAGCGGCCACGACGGAGGAGCCGCTCCGCCAGCAGTCAGGAAAGGCATGATAGCGCGTGTCAGATTTATAGTTTTAAATCTCTCGCTACCTGCTATAGCTTTTTTTTTAAGACAAGTTGCCGTTATTTGAGTTTATATATAATTTAGCCGCTATATACCGCTATAACCCGATATAATTACACTATTATCTGTTTTAGAGATATATCACTAAAACATCTTAACCCGCTATTTAAAAACATTCTCAGATTTCATCACAATGGGCATACACCCTCCGCAGCTGTCACAGCCGCTCCGCTCCGTTGCTTGATGATTTTCCGGAATGCACCCTCAGCAGCGATACAAGAATTTGATCCAAATACTACTTCACAACTATCCATTTCATTAAGCTAACGAGAGTTGGATTAACTAGCCACCAATTAACATAAATTCGCTTCTCATGGCCACTGAGCGCTGACGCAACGTGAGCAACCACACCGTACCATGCTCAAGCTCGATGCTCGAAGCTGAACCACAACACAGTCCTCATGGTTCTTTTTTATGGTACAAACCTTCAGCATGAAGTAACCATGGTTAACGTGGCATCTCAGGCTCTTCTCAGCCGCACTGGGATGTAAGTTTGACCACGCGTTCCCAGAATGAAGGAAAATTAGAGGGGGCAGCCGCAAAACCTCGCGCAACCGACTCTATTTATACGGCACCACGTCCTGATCCGCGAAGCACAACCAACACTCGCTTCCCTGTAATCTCGCTTCGCTCGCTTCCATCGCGTCAGGCTCGTTCATCAGGGAGAGAGGGGGGAAAACAGAGGGAAAAAAAAATTCAATTCGGAACAGCGAAGAAGAACTAGTAGCAGAGAAAGAAGAATAACTTCCATAAGAAAAATCGCCAAATCCCCCATTCATCTTCTTCGCTCGGGTTTCAGAACGTGCAGCAGTTTAGGAGCGAGGATGGTGGTGATCGAGAACCAGAGCCAGGTCGCGCGGGCGGCGGCGGCCGAGGCGGTGTCGGTGCCGGGGCCGCGGATCCCCAGGGAGGCGCGGCGCCTGCTGCACGAGCTGGCGGCGGCGTGGGCGGACGTGGCGGACTGCCGCG